AAGAACCACAACATTTTATTTTATTTTGTCAAACCATCTGCAATGTAACAGTATGTCATTGGACATTTCCGTCAACTTTTGCGGTTTTTTTGTGGTTGGTGTTCATGCCTCCATCATTGTCACGTTGTAACAAATTGATGACGTCACACTTCCGAGGCAGCCCTCAGACACACAACCTGGCCTTGTGGGCAAATACTCGTACTTGGTGGAGACAGCGGGGATCGACCGCGGTTTCCTAAGTTTGACTAAATTTCCGCCAAAATTTAAAATGCATTTTTTTTTTGGCAAACATTTTATTCACATATGCATAATTGCTGTATTCACCCACAGTCCCTCTATCGCATAAATGGCGGTGGTCGTCACTCTGCGAATGTGCGACATTTGTGTTGATAAACATTGATTTTCCCATAATCCAAATGCGCTCTTCTAATGGAAATCACTGAAGTACATGTATGAGGTTTGATCTGGGCGCGATTTGCACTATAATTACCGCCGGTGACTCCATCGATACATTCCAATAACCGAAAAAATACCTAAATAAAGCTTGGTAACGTCACAGTTTGTACTCGTTGATCTGCGCAACAGCCAAAGTCGCCATCTTTGTTTATATGAGACCAATTATCTCGCGCATGCGTGGCGCGACGACTATAGCCCTTTAAGTTTGTGCACGCTCAGCTTCGTGGCTATTTCTCCCAATGTGTGAACGGTTTATTTGCCTGCAACTAGCCCTTGGACTGTCAAGCGCTTCCAGACCGGTGAGATAGAGGGACTGTGATTCACCCCACAATTACTTACATGATGCGGGCATCGTGATTTTCCCCCCTTTTTCTTTCTTCACCCCTATGTTTTTGTTCTTGATAAACTATCCAGCTCACCCACCCACCAAACATTTCGGCCCGGGGTAACGTTGTTTTCGCACAAATGTTCTGACTTGCACGTACATATAACGTTTAGATTCTCCGATTACTTTATTCTGTTGATGATATTAATGGTAGTTGTCCCTTTTACTGGACATCGGCGCATTTTTATTTTCAATTGGGTTGCGTGACTGATATCTAACACGGAACTTATCAGGTGTAACCATATACCTTGCAATCTATGGTGTAACTGTGTGGTGGTGGTGTGGTAGGGTGGTGATGACGTCAGCATTTTCTTATTGTCACTCGCTTTTAATAGGTAGACCCGATCATAATTGAGGGTTTATGGTTGGTCCCCTAGATCTGACCTACGCACAAAGTCTCGCAAATTTCTATCAGTGTTACAATGCATATCGACTCATGTTATAGGTAAATGTTATGAACCCACACATTCAAAAAGACAATTATTTTTGACTTGCTACACCCGAGTAACAACAATGTGAACACATTGTACCCTTCGGTTTCTTTGGAAACAAGTCATAATCAGTGTGTATATTAACGTACGTATGTACATGCCCTGTCCCTGAGAACTAGATCGATTTCCCGAGTTATACTTTAATTTTTCAGTTTGTTGGTTAAGTTATCCATGTTATCGTGTTATTTTGTGGCTTGCGTTAATTTTAAAACTAGTATTTGAAAGCGTGAAAGTTCTGCGATTCAATAATAAAATTGTTGTTATTTACTACCCGACGCAATTTGACGGGGAGGGAAGGGTCGAGTAGTGAGATGATGACTGTAGTACACAGTGTACGTCAGTTATGTATTGTGATGTTATACTGACCCTTAAAAAGTGTACCTGTTTACATCGATCACTCTGGCGTGCAGTGTGATAAATAACCGCATATACTTTCTGTTTGTAAAATAACAATACATAATAGGCAACTCTCATAAAAGTCGTGTACATACAGTTAAAAACAGAATTATTCATACCCCTACTGAAATTTCAATGTTTCGTGTTTTTCTGGAAAACGACAGGTGGATACAGAATATTTTGGCCGTGGTTGGATATCTTTACTTGCAAGGTAAAAATTCTGAATGAGTTTTGTACAACCCCATTTGCATAACAAAAAGGCATATTACTTTATTTGTATTCTGACTCACTCAAAATTATTCATACTCTTTGTTAAAGCATGCCATTTGGCCATATGCATCTGATATGCACATGCTTCAGACAATCTGCATATTGTTTTGTTCACATGTAAAGTTGTGTAGGCCAGTCTGAATAATTTCCAAGGTGGTAAGTGAGTTCTGGAATGCCATTGTCCTAGAGTCAAGTGCAATAATGAAACCTTCCTCAGTTGTTATGATCATGGCGAAAACAAAGGAACTCAGCAACGACCTCCGCATGAGCATTGTGAATGCCCACAAAGATGGGAAAGGCTATAAAGCCATTTCCAAACTCTTGAGAGTGATAGTACCCACTGTACAGTCCATTGTCCAAAAGTACTAGAAGTTCAATACAGTGAAAAACATTGGCAAGCGTGGACGGCAGTCGAAGATATCTCCTTGTCTGGCCAGGAAAGTATGCCGGGAGGCCCTTTGCAATCCCAGAACAACAGTCAACAGTTCAGGACAACTTGGGTGAGATGGGCTCCAAGGTTTCACTGCAGACCATATGCCCCACACTGCACAAGGAAGGACTACACGACTGTCGCCCAAGGAAGACCCCTCTTCTGACTCAGAAGCATCGTAAAGCTCGACTTGCATATGCCAGAGAGCACCGAGACAAGGATCAACATTTCTGGGCATCAGTTCTATGTTCAGATGAGACAAAGATGGAACTCTTTGGTCACATAGATGTTTCATTTGTTTGGCGCAAGAAAGGCGAGGCATTCAACTAAAAAAACACTGCCAACCGTGAAGTTTGGTGGTTGGAGCATCATGCTTTGGGACTGTTTCTCTGCAAGTGGGCCTGGAAATCTTGTAAAAGTAGAAGGCATCATGAAGAAAGAGCAGTACATCTAAATTCTGGAAGACAACATCAGGCAGTCTGCAGAAAATCTTCATCTCGACCCCAGCTGAACATTCCAACAGGACAACGATCCTAAACATACTGCAAAGGCAGTCAAAAATGGTTCAAGGATAACGGTATGGAGGTGCTACAATGGCCAAGCCAGAGCCCAGACCTGAATCCTATTGAAAACTTGGGGAGAACCCTCAAGACTAGGGTGCATGCCCGCAGGCCCTCCAACCTGACAGAACTAGAGATCACAGCCAAGCAAGAGTGGGCCAAAATTCCTGTGGAGCTCTGCCAAACCCTTGTGAATAGCTACAGAAACCGCCTGGATACTGTGATCAAGAACAAAGGCTTTGCAATTGACTATTAATGACTGATATTGCCTTTTAAAGACATTGTTTAACATTATGGAGGAATGGCTTTAATTTCTGTTTTGAACTTTAATGTCCGTTATATAATGATGTTCAGGAAGGTCAATAAACTGCCGGGAATATAGAAAAGTTTTGAAATTTATGCAGTCACTATCTAAAAACCTGTGACTGAATAAACATGCTGTCACAGTAGTTTATTTGGGTAATTAATATGGTGGTTCTGGCCACTTCTCTATTTTCACTCTTTTAAAGCACTTAAATGATGTTTAAGTGAAGTACAATTTTTCAGGGCTTAATTTCAGCACCTTACCAAAGACACTGATACCATTTAGGACCAGTTCAGATTTGTTCAAAGTTAAACAGTATTTAACAATGTCTTTACAGTTTTATTTACAGAGTATGAATAATTTTGAGTGAGTCAGAATACAAATAAAATAATATGCTTTTTTGTTATGCAAATGAGGTTGTACAAAACTCATTCAGAATTTTTACCTTGCAAGTAAAGGTATCCAACCACGGTCAAAATATTCTGTATCCACCTGTCGTTTTCCAGAAAAACACAAAACATTGAAATTTCAGTATGGGTATGAATGATTCTGTTTTTAACTGTATATACACGACTTTTATGAGAGTTGCCTATTATGTATTGTTATTTTACAGACAGAAAGTTTTCGCGGTTATCATCACACTGTACGCCAGAGTGATCGATGTAAACAGGTACACACAGGGTCAAATACTGACGTCAGTGCGCACTTAATCGTGTGGGTTTTATTGTCTGAGTGTGGTGACACGGCCCCTGTTTAGGTTCACAGCAAAGCCGCGAAACAACACAAAAGTGAGTAACAAGTTTCATGTTTTGTAAATATACGAATGTCTTGAATAATCAATTCGAAATTTTACCCCATTTGAAACAAAAAAAAATAATGTAGACTTATGTTATGTGGTTATGTGTTCAAATGGTTTAAGTAAAATACGCGACACTTTTTAAGAGTCAATATAATATCACAATACCTAACTGACGTACACTGTTTACGTCAGTTATACCTTTAGAGAGTAACTGACGTCACGGTATTGTTGATTCTTTTCTCTGCAATACACCTCACCTTAAGTTGACCTAAAATTTCCACCCGGGTTATTTTTTTTTGCTTCAGGCTCAAACCCTTTTCCAATTTACAACCACATGTTGTTTACGTCTCTGGCAACGCTGGCCTACTATATTCGGAGAGACTTATCAACATGGTGAGTCACTGAATAAACTGACACACGCGTCAGTTGATACAGTTATTTATATTCTTCTCACGGATTATCTTCTCGGTACGAAATACACTAGTAATTTCAACTTTGGGTTCAGCGAATGTATTAAAAGCGACTCTGAACAGTTTTATAAAAATTATTGTATAAGTACCTTTCTCGTGTGTTCTCACATGATCATTGATCAGTATTTTACATGTAAGTAGTACTGACCACAGTCCCTCAAATGAGGGACTGTGTACTGACAGATTATTTCATTTATATTTTACTAGTTTATTGTGTTTTTACATCAATAGTGAATACACGATAACGATAAAAATATTATTATATATTCCTTCCGACGTATGTGCTTCATCTGACCGGGTCACATACAGAGTGGGGGTCACTTACGTCTACTTAAATTGGCCCGGTGAAAAACGACAATATGATTGGCTAGGTGCGCCCACGCCGAATGCTTTGACGTCATTTTGGCAGGTGTGTTCTAGATCTAGTGAGTAACGGACTGATTGTACACTACTCGAACTCTCAGCGCCGAAGTGCTAGTTGTATGACCGTCTAGCCACACTTCAACTATCTGATTCAGAAACTGTGAACTTTTTCTCTATTGCGATTACAGGTACGTTTTCTTTTTGGGGGATTTTTTGAAACTGTCACCGGCAAACTGTACCCTTCTCAGTCAGTACCATGGCTCGGTCAGGGTACGCGTTGTTTGTCCACCAGTGTAAACTGGGCACTATTTTGTCTGCATTACATTTAATTGGTATTATATTGTCTAAGATTTGTGTATGCTTTCATTAATAAGTGTTTGTTTTTTTTTTATTTCAGAATAAAAACAAACTTATACAAAATGTTTTCAATTTCGAGAACAGTGTTCGCTATAACCACAATACTTTTAATACAATGTGGTGGAGAAGCTTTGGCCAATATCATGTGTGCTGATGACAATTGGTACTTCGATTTAATGACTTTGAGGTGTAAGTCATGCACTGTTTGTGTCGAGGAGCTAGGGAAAGTTGAACTGACGCCATGCGACGACCTCAGCGACAGAATATGCGTTGATGTTCCACAGTCAGGCTCGCCATGGCCAGCCCCGGAAGAATTTCGTCTCCAGACAGAAAGAGAGCAGGATCTCGACACAACAACAGTAAATCCAGATCTGCTTACGGTTCCAGTTATTGACCCAGAAGATGGGGCAATTATTGCTAGCGAGAAAAGTCTTCCGATGAGCAACCCCGTCACGGAGGGAGATTTACACGAACCTCTACAGAAGCTACAGGCAATAATCGACCACCAAGCTGCAAGGCTGATATTCTGGCGGTACTCTGCTTATGGCTTGTCGGCGGCCCTAGGGTTCACGATCGTACTTGTTATAGTTCTATTTACGTGTATATATTGTCCAGTGCACCGCCATTCCATTGCAATCAGAAAAGGTGATTTGGAAAAGGGAACAACAAAGACGGAACCACGTAATCTTGAGTTGGATTATATGGAGTGTGATCTTGAAGAAGGTAAGAGGCATTGTTTTGTTGTACCCTTCCGTTTGGCGATATATTTTGTATTTTTTATCGATTTTTCTTTATAAATTATATTTTTGTTAATTTGGACCTGATGGACACGGCTACATACAGGTATCAGTCCATTTTTTTTTTGAAAAAAAAGTATGCAGGAGTACTGTAAAATGACTAATTTTCACTGGGTTAAATTTCGCTTATTTACCATTTTAGGCATATTCATTGGGTTTTAAATTCATGGTTTTATCATTTAGATAATGTGTTCTATGCTCAATTTTACATATTCACTGGGTTTTAATTTAGCGCATTTTCCAGTCAGCGAAATAAGCAAAATTAAAACCCAGTGAATAATTAACCCCTTTACAGTATTTAATGAAAGGGGACTAACATTGACATTGGTCTTCAAAGTGTCAACATACAAATACGTTCTCAATCCTGCAGCAGTTTGCTGTATTATGACTAATATATCAGTACTGCATTTAATCAAGTTATATCAGCTGTTTACATGAACTGCTGCCAAAAAAAAATATCTTTATCTATTTTGGAATGAGTCAGTGGGTGGATAAGTCTAAACAATGTCTGTTATTATGTGACTGGATGTTGTAGTAAGGGTGGGAGTAGACAGAGTGCAATGAACTATTTCAACAAAGAAATTAAGAACAATTTTGAAAGATTTTGCAATTCTAGTTTCCCAGTATATTTAATGTACCAGCAGCCCAGGTATACAAAACAGTTTGTTGTGCTACGATAGTTAGGAATGGTAGAAGTATAACTTGAATAATGATGTCTTTGTCTTGACAATGTAAACATTTATGGTAGCTTTATTATGAATGAAAGTTGATAGTCTTGCAGTCATTTAGAAAAAAAAAAAATCAGTTTTTCTGTTCATTGCTTTTATTGATTCACAAAGTGGTGATTTTTTTTATTCAGAAATCTAAATAAAAATTTTGAAAAATGTTTTTTCACAGCGAAACTTTAGTTTTCTTCTACCCAAGGTCACAGAAACTTGCCCACGCAAATTCTTCAGGACAAAAGAAGTGAAAATATTTTCAGAGTAGCATTGTAAATTCTATTTTTTATAATAAGTATAGACAATTAATTTTCTCCTATCAACCCTTTGAGTGCCATTTTGTCTTCCTGCTCAAAATTGTGTGAATTTGGGTAAATTTTCTGTACATTCAATTTTAATTTTTTTGACCAAACAGATAGAATGTACAATCTGATTAAAATTTGATTTAAGGTATAGGAGCCATTTTTTTTTTTTAAATTGTTAAATTTTTTAAAATAATCTTATTGTTACGTTTGTTTGTTTATGAATATTTTATTGGTTTTACTTGCCGTTGTTACATTTTTTATATATCGTATCTCGGTCACAGTAACTCAATGTATATGGAAATCTTGTGCAAAACTCGCGCAAGAGTCGGCCAATCAGAGTACAGGTTACAGACTCTTTAAAATGTAGCAAGGAAAAAAGAAAATTTTCACAAAACATAAGAGGTGGATGATTGGCCTTCGAGCTGCATTTGAGCATGTCCCACATTTAAAATTATGTTGTAAACTACTGTATTTATTTGTATGGCTCAGAAACATCTTGCAATGTTTTTGTTTCTTGTATCAAAAACTTTCAATGACAAGTGAAACAACTAATCTTGTTTTTCAAAATGAAGTCGGAGGCACTTACCAAATCCAGTTGGGATTTCTGTTTACACATCTAAAACAAATACTGTGAAATACTTTATTTTAGCTGGAATTAATTTTTCGCTGAAAAGACTTCTTGAGTGTTTTGTACGGAATTTATTTTCACTAATTTTTGACAAGTTGAATGTGAAACATAGGAAAAAAGGTATATTCGTTGGATTTTATTTTCACTGAATCATCCCCTCAGCAAAAATTACGAAAATTAATTCCAAGCGAAAATTATTTTACAGTATACAAAGTACATAGCGATAAATTGAATGCACACACTTACGTAGGTTTTACAATCAAATTCGTTGATTGTAGAATTATTTGTTTATTATACTGTCATATTTCGAAATCAGTATTTTTATTAACATTTTCAGAATTCAAAGATTAATTACAGAATAGATAAAACATCGTTATTAATTTACAATCACGAAAAACGCAATCTCCATGGTCGTGGTATAGTGACTAGACCAGGTCACATCGAGCATGGACGACGTGCTAACAATCAGCGAATATCAATATTTGGGTCATGTAACTATTGTGTGAGATGAGAGATTGTCTGAATTTGTGTGAATCAGAATGTATAAAGAAAATTAAAATTGCCTCAGAAAATTGGCGACCATTTTGGTAAAAAAAATTTCACTTTGACTAGATTGCAATTTGCATAAATTCTCAAAAATTTGCAAGACCCCAATGAAAAGAAGTACCTTTGAGTGCAATTATGAATGTTAAACTATAATTTAACAATTTTGAAGTTTTACTTTGAAAACAATTTAAGATTTGTGATAATGTTCACTCAGGTGTGTTAAGATAAAAGTGAAATTGTCTGTCAAAAAATTGCTTTGGAACTGAGATTTAATAATTATCTAAAGGAAGTGTATACTCAATCCAGGATATTTAGCTTTGGCATGACAGGGGTCCGAGGTTAGAAGTCAGAACCTATATTTGTCAAATTTCTTCTTTGATTAAGTTAATTATTAACAATTTTCAGTCTAACTTTATAGATACATGTACTTGTTTTTTTCTTTAACATGACATGAATATTATACACTTATTACTAAACTGCTTGTATCTGCTGGATTTATGCAATTTTGACAAATAAATTCAAAACGAGTCAAGCGTAATACCTATAGGGACAAATTGATTTGTTGTGTTTTATTGTCTTGAGAAGTGAGCAAGATTTAAAGCATTCTATCAGTGGTGAGAACATCCAAATTACAGTTCCATCCTGTGTCAATACAGCTTCCTTTTAAGTGGCATCAGTTTAACTTATTATCCAATTATGTAATTTAATTGTTTAATTTTTTTTGTCACTATCAACTTTGGGGAACTTTGTGTGAACAAAAATTTTCTGTGAGAATTGCTAGGTTTCTCTGACTGAAAATTTACCCCTTGTAAAGTAAAATGATTTTCAATAAATCAAAGTTAATGTGCTAAGTGGAATTTAAACTTCCTGTGATGTATTGACACATGAGATAACAAAAGGAAGCATGTGAACCACAGGATAAAACAGCCATGCCTATGTACAATAACAATCAGTCATCTTGGCAGAAAGTATGCAGAACTCCAGTCAATAACCCCACCTCAATATATATTGATTCAGTGAGCACCCAAGGTTATCAACAGATATGTTAGTCTATAATGCCACTCATTTACACTGAAAGAATCATTAAAATATTAAAATAACTGATTTTAAAAATACAAGTATATATTAAGTCAGTCAGTCAGTCAGTCAGTGGGGGGGGGGGGGGGGTGAAGTTACAGGTATCAATGGCAGTAAGGTGTCAATGACTTTGTGGTTTCCTGTTAAATAAATTTAAAGACTGCTTGTATAAATACTTCACACCTTGTCAAGAAATTTAACATCAGTACTGGTACTGGGAATGTTTAAAATAAATGATTTTAACTTTATAAGTATATATATTACGTCAGTCAGTGTGTGTGTGTGTGTGTGGGGGGGGGGGCTGTTATGTTATAGGTATCAAAATTATATCAAAATTAAATTATAAAATAATGGTTTAAAGACATATTGTATAAATACTTCACACCTCGTCATGAAATTTAACATCAGTACTGGAAATGTTTAAAATAAATGATTTTAACAATATACTGTAAGTATATACTACGTCCGTCAGTGGGGGGGGGACTGTGAAGTTATAGGTATCAATGGCAGAAAGGTGTCAATGACTTTGTGGTTTCCTGTTAAATAAACTAAATTAAAAATTAATGGTTTAAAGACTGTTTGTATAAATACTTCACAATTGTTATTCATGATTTCTTGAAAAATTTGTTTTATTGAATTTCCAGCCCTAGAATGTGATGTTTGTTCAGTTTAATAGCTGTTATAAACGCTCTATGTTGATGATTTTTTGTTTTTAGTGAACAATAAACTGTAAACTGAATATTAAACTGTAAACATTATTTTTATAACCGTTATGTCTTATTCTTTTTGTAGGGTATGGTGATCTGCATCGACCACGCTTGTTCTCTCGAGGACGACTGTCTAGTGCCGACTTCTTACGCTCGTTGAGTAGTCATGAAAAGAAAAGAGAATCAAAGGAAGGACTTTTTGATCAGATGATCTATCCGCCTCCAAATATGTACAGCCAATCAGGAAGTGTCGGGGAGGTTTTCCCAGACAACAATAACTTCCAGCATACCGTGATGAGTGATGACGATTCGGGATTGCCTAATTGCGACAGTTCAGCAACAACATCAAAAGGTAATATCGTCTCCCACGAAGACAAGTATTCAATCACTGATGCCCATATGCAGGATCCTGTTATCGAAACACAGCTCCCGGAATTTGTTTCTAATAGCCCGTCTCAGAAACAGCTGGTAACACATTGGTCGCAGGGTAAAGCTGTGTCAGTTACTACTTTACAGAGCTACGATGTTTGACTCGACTCGGTTTAACCAATTACTTGAGTGAATCAACTTGTCAGAATGCAGTCAAGAGACACTTCAGAGACGATGCTCAGCTGTGGCAACCATGGTTACCAATTTGTAAACAAGTTAAATATAAACTGCATGTAATTGCAACGAGTAGAGTGGTTTAGTTAACAAATGTATATGGCCTTTCGACATCAAGGCAATGCAATATTTGGTAACACTTACAGTCAGTGTGGTTGATCCGATAGTTCAGGGAAGCAGTGCAATCAATCAAAATTATTTCAAAGCTTTTCACAAATTGTTGTTTTTCATAGAAAATGTGTTATTGTATAGTTTTGAATATTTGAATCATAATGAGAAGGAGGGGAGGGGAGGGGACAAGCAGCATTATTATTCCTTAAAGCAACAGGTTGCTATAGGTCTAATCTCACAGTGTATTTACTTAAATGAATCAAAATAACAATAGAAAACGAAGGACGGACTACTATAATAGTGTAAATAAACACAAACAAGGATGGACACTGAGGAGTGCTGTTTTAATATTGCTTGCACTCAAATAAATTTCAATGTTGTATTGATAATATGATTAATGTACTGCCAACTCTTTTCTTCAATAAAAAACATTTTTGCTGCTATTAGTTGTTTTCAAGTATTTTAAATAATTTTTATTTTTGAATACTTTATTTCTTACAAAATGACGCAATTAAAATAAATATCAATCAATTTAGAGTCATTGTGTATTGTATGTTGTTTATTCTGGGTATGTCATTTCAGGAACAAATCAATTTTTTATATTTTCATAATTACAATACTATGTAAATTTTTCATCTCAATTTATTAATTATTATATGTAATTGACTG